AGATTTTTAAGTTCTTGTGAAATCACTACCAGAAACACCAAAACTATCTGTATTTGTGCTTTCCAATTTACTTTTCAGCTTTTTCATTATTATATTAATATTTTATAGATAATTTGAGTATATGAAGAATAATTGTAAATTGTGCCGATAAAATACATAGTAACTCATATTGGATAAAATACAAAATAAATACTTTGAAGCATTCAATTTCTATTTCGCTAAACCTATAAATGAAATCCTATCTTAAATTACAAACACTCCTCATGTAATTTATTATAAGGATTATCTCATATTAGATGAGCAATAAGAATATATGAAAAGGTAGTTGAACTTCCTTAAATTGTAGATATTATAAGTAGGATGAAGTCAAACCAAGAATTGATATTTTAACTGAATTTTATGTAACCAATTACAAAGATGAACATCCCTATCTTTTGATTGCAGATTAACATCAACTGATGATAAAGAGGAATAAGCGAATTGATAAACTCTATTATTAAAGAGTTCAATAAAGTGAACATTCAAATAAATCAAATAATCATATTGTTATTAACAATGTTCTCAATTCAAAACTATCCTCAAATTCATAAATTAGTTATGAAACTGAAGAACATGATATATATTCATCATAAGAAAAACCAAATAAACTCAATCGTCTTGATTTTAAAGGCTTAAATATTATTAATCCATAGGAAGATACTTAATAATTAAATTAGATGCTTGATAAACATTATCTCATTATAAATTAAATGAGCAACTAACTCAAAAAATTACCATCACATTTTTATCTAAAATCTCCTCCACAAAGTTAATAAATTATATCAACAAATAATATAATAAAAGATTTACATACTCTTAAAAGTGTTAAAAGAAGAACTAATCATAAAGATTTACGTGAAAAGAAAGGTATTTTTATAATTAATACATTTTAGCTATACTTGCTAATTCTAAAAGTGAATCTAAACATTCATAATCTAGTTTTAAAATGTCTAAAATTAAAGACTCTGTTGATTAATAAGTAGATTAATTCTAGGAATATATTCCTCCAAATAATGAACCTATTGATTAAGATGATAAAAACAAAACCTAGAAATTTGAAAATAATTTTGTCATTTAAAGAATGCTTAGAGAATATTAAGGGAATCATAACCGATAATTAAGATAGACTATTTCATAAGATTTAATTGTTGCAAGTACATCTACTGTAGTCTAAGGATTTTAAGGTTCTTAAAAGAGTATAAAATAGGATTAAAATAATAACAATAATGGTAGTATACAAAATATATCTTAACGATAAGAATAACTAAAAAAAGCATATTAACCAATTAATATTTAATAAAAAAAGATAAATTAAAATTAATTAGATAAAATTACTAAAGGAGGTTCACTTACTGATAGAAATTCAAAATAATTACCTATTGCTGAGGATTTATTTCATAAATTACATGATTTAAAAATTAGAAGCTCATAAAATGCAGATTAAAATAAAAAACCAGAATTTAACTATATGTTACCTTCTTAATATAATACTCTAACCACATTAAAAATGAATAATAATTCAAAAGCTAAATCTTAATATTCTAAGAAAAATACAGGACATGATTTAGGCACAAAGTCTTAGCATTAAAAATAAGCAAATCATAGTTAATCTAAGGTTTTGAATATAAATTCTTAAAAAACAGATGACATAGTCAAAAAATACATTTAAATGGCTACTTAATCTATATAAAATAATAAAAAATTTGATTTCAAATTAAATCTTTAAAATTTAAATAATAATGAACCACATGTAGAAGATGATTTTTGTAATTATAAAAATTTATTTAGAAAACAAACGTCTGAATTTTCTAACAGAAAGACATAGTTAACAACAACAAGATAGAGATTAATTTATAACTCATAGAAAAATTGTGATTAAATAATGATTAATATAATGATTAATATTTTAAAGTAATATTCTAAATTTTATGTACGATAATAAAATAAATATTAGAAATATAGGTTTAGTGATATAAATTTATTTTTTTAATTATTTATAAATAATAATTTAAAATGTCTAGAATTACTTAAGAATTATTAAGAAAAAGAGCAGAACATAATGAAATGATGTTAACAAATTTAGAAGAAATTTCAATTCATTAAGAAGAGTTAGTGAAAATTGAGAATTTAGATGTGTATTGTAGACACTTGAAAATATTATTGTTACAAAATAATATAATCGAGAAAATGGAAAACTTGACTAAATTGAAAGAATTGGAATATTTAAATTTAGCCTTAAATAATATCAGACTTATTGAAGGTATTGAAAATTGTGAATCTTTGATGAAACTAGATTTGACAGTCAATTTTGTAGATCTATAAAATTTAGAAAAATCTGTGTAATGTTTATAGAAATGCAGATTAAAAGAATTATATTTAACAGGAAATCCATGCACTGAGTAAATTATTGAAATAATATTGAATAGTTGGCAAGGATATAGAAACTATGTGATTGGATAAGTAGATTCTCTTCATTCATTAGATGGTAAAGAGATAACACATACAGAGAGAATAAAGGCAAAATAACTATTACCTTAATTATAAAAGGAATTAATTTATGCAATTGAGGAAGAGAAGATTAAGGAAGAGTAAAGAATTCATGAGGAAAAGATTAGAAAAGAAATGAATCCAAATAGTGAAGATAAAGTAGCATATACACCAGAAACACGTAAGGAGATGTATTTGATATAAGCAAAAGAAAAGTAATTAAGTTTAAATATAGATATAGAGAATAAAAAGAAAGATAAAGAAATCCAGAGAAATTTAAAGTAAAATAAGAAACACCAATATATATGAATGATGGAAGAATTAGATAATGTGATGAGGGAGGTTATAAACCATATGTAAATAATTGGGAAGATCCAGAAAATGTTATATTTAAAATGAATATTCCTAAATATCTAGACACTTCATTAGTTAAAGTAAATGTGAATCCTACATATGTGTCTGTGAGAGTGAAAGATAAACTTACATAGATTAGATTGGAAGAGGAAGTGTTTTCTGAAAAATCCAAGATTTAAAGATCAGAAATAACAGGAGAATTGGTTATTACAATGCCAAAAGTGAATCCTAATGAAATATTAAAATAAATAGCTGAGAGAAAGAAAAAAGAAGATCAATAAAAATAATAAGAATAGATAAAATAATTAGAAATTAAATAGAAATAAGAGAGATAGAATTTAGATTTATTAATATAAAAAGCTTAAGCAAAATTAACATAATAAATTGATGATGATATACCTGATTTAGAATGATATATATATATATATATGTAAATAATAAATTTACGCGCCTAATATTTAATTAATTAAACATGAAATTAGTCATTCCTAATATAATTTGGCATGGAGAAAAAGAAAGAATAATGTCTATTGCAATACATCCAACGTAGAATTTATTATTGACAGGAGGTTCAGATTCTAAAACTGCTGAAAAAGATAGTACTTATGAAGATATTGGAGTGATTAAAATGTGGACAATATTAGAAAATTCAACTAAAATGGTTGAATTTGCAGGAGCAATTAATTCAGGACATGAATAAACTGTTAATTGTTTAAAATTCTCACCAAATGGTAAATATTTTGCATCTGGTTCTGATGATTATAAAATTATAATCTGGAGTTAATAAGTGAGATAAGTTTTTGGTTAATCTGAACCTAGATTATAATGGTGGCCATTATCAATTTTAACTGGACATTGTAAAGAAATCTATGATCTATAATGGTCAAAAAATGGTGAAATTTTAGTTTCAGGTGGACTAGATAAATATGTAATTGTTTGGAATGTTAAGAAATAAAAATAATTATAAACTTTAGATGGACATACATCATATGTATAAGGAGTTACAATTGATCCAAGACTTAAATCTATTGTATCCTTAAGTTAAGATAGAACAGCAAGAGTATGGAAACTAACAAAAGCACAAAGAAAAAACTTAAATAATCTTCAATTTTATTCATAACATGTAGTTAGAAAATTAGAAAATTCATAAAAAGTTGATGTATAATAAATTAATTCATAAGATTAATAATAATAATAATAAATAGAAGAAAAAAAATAAAATGGAATATTTTTAGGTGAAACTAGTTTATTTACTTTTGTTAGACGACCAGATTGGAGTCCTGATGGATCATTTTACATATTACCAGCTGCTGAATTTTGGGTTGATAATAAACCTATTATGGGTGCTTATGGATTCTTAAGATAATCTCCTTAAGTTCCATGCTTCTTTTTACCAACTAATACTCCTGCCTTAGTTATTAGATTTTGTCCTAAATACTTTACTAGAAACCCTGATATTTAATAGCCATTAATAGATTTACCTTATAAAATGATTTTTGCCATAGGTACTGTTGATTCTTTACTTCTCTATTCAACTGATAGTCCAACTCCTCTAGCAATATTTGGAAATCTTCATTATGCCTCTATTACTGATATTTGTTTCAGAGGTATCCTAAATATTTAATAATAAAGGTTCCAATTTAATAGCTGTTAGTTCTTGTGATGGTTTTTGTTCCTTTGTATAAATTGAAGAAGGATACTTTGGTTAAGAACTTCCTGTTGAATGTATATATAATATTAAAATTAGAATTACCTGAATATATTAGAGTGTTATATAATAATAATGATAAGATAGAGGAAGAAGATGTTTCAAAAAAGAATGAGGAATCCAAAAAGCAAGAAATTGTAACTGAATAAAGAGTTGAGTATAAAGACACATAGGATGGAAAAAAGAAAAAAATGATTATACCAAAAACTCTATAGATAGATTAATAGGCTTAGAAATGATTATTAATATTATTATTCCTATTCATAATTGAGAACTTATAAAATTAAAGATTTGAATATTAATTTTAAATAATATAATATTGCAAATCTAGATATCTCTTACTTTTAATTTGGATACTTAATTTTATATATAAATTATACTTAATTATTTTTATAATTTTAATAAATGAAGAATGAGATTTTAAAGACTTACATTGGATGAAAGTGGATTCAACTTTAATCTATTTCATTTTTTATTGTTACAGGATCCAATATTTAAAAATAAGATAAAAATAGATATTCCAGATACAATTTAGATCATTTAAGGATAACCATATTTTTGGTATTTCAGTCATAATTCATAAATAATGAGAAAAAGCAAATCAAAACTTAACTGGGAAGATATCTTAAATGAATTTATAACAGATAAAGAAGATTAACATTCAATATGTGCAATTTGGATAAATAAATCTAAGAATTTAACAACTTTTGAATATTTGTCATAACATTTACTATATTAATTTTTGACTTTAAAAATACCAGATAACACAAAAGGATATTTATAAAGATTTGTTTATCCAAAAAGTATAAATGATATAGATAATATTGATTAGGTAGTTGTAATGAGGTTATTAAATGTACATGGACTAATAATTTATGTTTCTTCGAATGTTTTTCTAATTAATATTAAATTAAATTTTCAAAAGCTGATATATATTAAAGAGCAGTTACTTTTTGAAATGTTGAATGGACCTATAGAATAGAGTATCTTAAAAGAATGAATGTTTTACTAATATATTCAATAAACAAGAATTATAATCATAAAAGTATTCAATCTTTAGATAAAATATAAAAAGAATTCATATGAAAACTTAAATTGCTGACTCAGATTTAATGTATAATATATTACAAATTCAAACAACAACTAATAAAATTGATTTACTATTCAATTTTAATTAAAATAAAACTATTCTTAATTACACTAGTAGAATAATTAATGGAGAATAATTATAAATACCTTAAATTAAAAATTTATCAAAAACTATATTTAAAGATTATCATCATAAAAATTCTAATTTTAAAACCAATTAATCATCAAAATAAGAATAATAAAATTCACATTTTAAAGATTTTGAATGATTACAATATAATATATA